CGTCCAATTAATGGGCCGAAAATCAAGAGTTGCTGTAGAGCGGAGAGTCAAGAACATGCAGCGTGGAGAAAAATCTGCGAAGAGTTAATTGAGAAGAATAGATCTTATGACGTATATCTCAATCAGGAACGTTTTGGTTTCAAAATGTTGGTCTAATGCGACCACTGCCAAAATTTGGAACTTGCGAAATTTTTGACAATTTTTTTCCTCACCAAAAATAGGAAATATTTGAATTCGCTCTAATGCTACCCGGCCCTAACGTGGTAAAACGGAGCGAATTAAAAATAGACCAGTTCACCCAAACAAAGAAATATATCCGTCTATAAGATATCATATAGAAGAACAAAAGATACCCGCAACTTTCAAATAAGTTATAACCGTTCTGAAAAAATGAGTTCCATTTTAAGTTTTCCCAAAGAAAGCGCCCTTTTGGTTGAAGATAGAGGCCGTAAGATGCTAAAATTTAAATGGAACTCGAATTCACATTCAGAATGGCCAAAGGGCAAAACGGGATTGTCTTAGCAGAAGTTCAAAAGCCTTTTCTGGCCTCTCACGTCAGAGCAGCACAAGTTTCATGCAACTATTTTTTTTTTCATCGTTAAACTAGGCGACTAATAGCGTGTGTAATATGAGCCAATTTTAACTTTTTTGACACGTGCAAAACCAAACAAAAGAGAGACAATAAATCTTGAGAAAACAAAAGCCAGGCAATAACGATCATTCGAAAAATCCTTTTAATTTTACATTCTAGTGTACAATTCAATTAATACACTTGAAAATACCCGTTTACAATTCTTACAATATGGTCCCGTCCGAAAATGGTCCGAGCACGTGCGGGAACTCTGAGAAACCCGCGTCACGTACTCTGTCAATTGCAGAATTTCATATGAACGGAGTGTCTAATTACCAAATGTTCATAAGGACGTGATTCGAGTACAGGGACCACTGGTTCTTCTACTCCACAAATATTTACAAACAACATCAACAGCACAGTAAATAAAAATTCGAATCTGCACGTCTAGTTCCACAAACTACAAACAATTTGACGAAACAATATTGGTCACTTAAAAAGTGGATGGCTGTAACGGTTTTGTCATAGACACTGCTTGAGGGAACATGGCATGGTAGTTGACAAGGGGAATAGCCCTTGCGATGATCTGTTTACCTGAAAAGTTGAAGATAAAAGGTATGTTAGTGTGCATAAAGATAGTTCTATAGGACCCCATTGTCTGATATTTCTCGTACAAAGCCCCAATAACTCGCTGTTACTGGGGACTACTGACTACTACACCAAACATTTGTGCAAAGTAGAAATCAATCGGTGAAACTCACCTGCAAACCATCTCCCATGAAGGGCTTTTGATGCACTGGCAGCAACTTCCGCATTGCTACATTTCACATATACAGCTCCCTGCCGAATCAAAACAGTTCATTTAGCACTACTTATTTTCTATCAACAACAAGAGACCATTTACCCATACCCCCAGGGCCACCAAGGCTCAATTTTCTGCCCCTCTCTGAAGGCTAGGAGCCCCCAATTTAAAAAATACTTGGGAGAATATTGCTGACTTGAATTTAAAGATGCGGCTTGGCTTGGCTGGTTAAGCAGACAAAAAATGCCTTGGGCAAACGGGCTAATTGAACTGCCTTGTTGATAAATATTATTTTATGTTCACCTCTGGGAAAAGAGACAGTGACACAGATATTCCCTATCACTACCTTTAGTTTTCAAATGCCTGGTTTAAAAATGTTATACAGACCTGATTTGACGCCTTGTCCACATGAATGTGATATACATAACCGTATTTGGTGCATTCTTCCAATACATCATCACGAATGTCTGCATCCCAGTCTGGGTCTTTCTCCCTTAAGAGATAACAAAGTTGTGAGTGGTTTAATGTAATGACTGCGTCAGTTACGTCACTCCTGAAGACACAAGAGATACAGCTGCACGAATAGCTCTCCTAATAATCTGCTTCTTATGTACCAATGTACAAGGATACCAATGGGCACAGCCACAAGGAAACGTTGGAAGTGAAGTTCTTTGCGACTTTACCGGGGTTAGATTAAGGGCCAGACACTGGGTTGATTAACCACCTTCATGAACATTTTTCTTAAAGGATGCAACAATCCTGCCAAAAACCTTCATACCACCCTTAACTTCTTTCTTTCAGTCTTGCTGTGTAGGCTTCATGCAGTCATCCAACAATATCACTGCATACTGCTGTAAATATTTGAAGCTTCATTGAACAACCAGTAGCTGTATGTATAGTTTTCTGATATTTTCATGTATATACTGCACACTATAAGTACTACTACAAGTAACAGTTACAGAATTGCACATCAAGCACTTACTTGGTTGGATCAAACATGTTAAGGAGCATGATGCATTGTGTAGGAAGAGGGATTGAGACTGGTGTAGCCATAGCTTGTTGTACACCAACTGCTGGTGCTGGAACACCAGGCACAGACAGACCTGCAAACAAAGATATGCTGTGTGAGCTGAAGAGTACTTCAAGGACTGTGATGTACTTCGATATATGATATTTGAAAATGTCACAATGTCTCACTGTATGATATTATGATTCTTCATCAACATTCAGAAAATACTGCCTTCCATGAATCCTTAACCAAGTCCAAGCCCTTTTATGGTCATATAAAACAAAGTGACCGGAAAGTTCCAGCCTTATTTTGTATAGAGGAATTGCGTCGATCTATTTAGCATGTAAAGGGGTTACTTGACTGGTAGTGATATGCAATACTCACCCAGTTGAAATCTGAACAAATACACGAACATCTTGTGTGCTCTTTGTTCTACAAAGAAGCTAGCTAACTTTCTGGATATATGTTTATGCTTCATCAGTATAAAATGCAGACTAGGGGTAAAATGTGGGTGTTACATAGTGATGCAGTCGATGATTGAAGAATCCCAGGTTTGTTTTGTTATATCTATTCGTATAAATTGTATCTTCCATCCAAAATTACGGTTGATTTTCCTTTGAGGATAAAAGGTTGACAGACGAAAAGGTGATTATCTGGTCACCAACACTAGATTTTTGGTTGTATTGGCAACCGGTGAGTCACAAGTTTGAGCCCTGTATGGTAACACAAGGTCTGTAGTATGCATTCTACCCCTGGTTTTCACTGTCTGTTTTACACTGACCGATTCACACTGGCAACACACACCTGCTGAATGGCCTTGAGATAATTTGGCCATAAGGGCAGCTCGAGCTGTTGAGTTTAATTCCACACCACCTTTTTCATACTCTTCATCATCCAGGAATGAATAAGATGAGGAGTCTCCTCGCTCAGTTACAGGGCCAACCTTCATGGGCCGGCCTGCAAGTTCAAATCCGTTCATCTGATCCATAGCTTGCCTGGCAGCATCAGCATCTTTGAACTGGAGAAAACCGTAGCCTTTTGACCTTCCCGTTTCTGAATCATAAATCATCTGTACACTTTCAACTGTTCCAAAGGGTTCAAAGATTGCTTTGATCATTTGTTCGTTAATGTTAAAATGCAGGGATCCAACATATAGTCTTGTGGGGCCAGGTGGAGCCTTAAGTTTTTCTGCTTCTGCTGCTGCACGGTTCTTTTCTGCTTGCGTAGGCATCACCATGATTGGAGCACCCAACAGTTTCTGACCAGACAGGTTAATGGCCTACAAGTGCAATTAAACAGACAACATAAAGTCATAATTGCAGAGTTAAAATACATCAAAGCACCGTCACAATTACAATGGACCATGTATCTAGGACACTTTTCCGACTGTTCTGGACAATACCTCTTTTCAACTAAGACTTCAAGTGAGATGCCAGCACATTGCTAAGACAATCTCAATTGACTGATTGACTGACATCTCATAAAGGGGGGATAAAAACAATCCTCACCACATAAAAAGGCAAGTTACAATGGCCCCAATGAGCCATCTGGCTACTCCTAACTCTAAAATAGAACAGAGAAAGGATAGCAGACACTCCATAGCCAAATTGTGGTCTACTTTAGTGTCCAACCATTCAAAACCTGTTACCATAAGAGTACAACTAGCTTTTTGGGATATTAAATGCTTCAGAAAATCTCACCAAAGGCACAGCTGATCGATCTGTAAACTCAACATAAGCAATCCCTTTGGAACGTCTCGAGTTGCGATCAGATATAATTCGCACATCAGCAACCTGAAAGTAACATTGTTCCAAAGACTCAGTCGCAGAAACATAAAACAAGGGAGTGCAGTAAGACAAGTGAAGGCTTGAAAATAATGACTAAATGACTTACCTGGCCAACTTTTGAAAAAAACTCTTCTAAGTCTCTGGGTCTAATGTTCCTTGCAAGCTGCATGCAGAAAGCTGTCCTTGCATCCCTTTCTTCTGGTGTTATATCCTCTGCCGGTTTTAGCTCTCTTCTGTGGGAAAAATTCAGTTTAATTGTCAGCACTAGCGTCCCTAGAGAGGGAACGGTAAGGTTCTCAAACTCACGAGTTACATGTACCTTTCCAAACGTTGCTCAAATGGACTTCTATTGCCATCACTTCCTTCCAACTCTTCCTTCTTGAGACGATTTGATGGACTTGGACTGCGACTTGCACTTTTTTGTCTCTCACGTCTAGATCTGTGGTCATTGCTGCAAGAAAACGTATATTTACATGTCTATTTCAGAGCCAAAGGCAAACAGGAACTTTTATTCAAGAATGGTCAAAAGCGAAAAACCTGGCGACCTTGCTTACCTAACCTGACAAATTATTCTAAAATAACTAACCATTTGCCAAGGCCCTTATTTATTGAACAACTGCATTTCCCATTGGTACCTCACCTTAAAACTCATATGGAACTCTGTATTTAGGGGTTACAGAAGAAACTAACATAGACTGGGATAAGGTTAACCAAAATATAAGCCTGCTTTTGGGGTTTAATAGGTTCCTTTTTCAACAGAGTAAAATAACTTCAAAACCAACCTTTTACGTCTTCTGGAGTCTGGGGGGCTTCTTGAACGGCTTCTACTGCCACTAGCACTACGACCTCTACGCCTTCTGAAAAACAGAAATGTGAGTATATTAGGACAATAATTTGTTTTTCATCGTTTTGCTGAACAGATGACAAAACAAGTATTTGCACTTCAAGTGAAATTCATGACATCCACATCACAAACAGTAGAGGTGTACATTATAGAGAACATTAGTGTGACTCAAGTGAAAGCTATGGCATAAATTTTCATTCAAGATGAGGCAAAAAACCCTATCTAAAAGCAAAAAAATATTCAAAATTTCCCATACATGCTTTGCTGCATGACCACATGTTCAAATTAATTATGCACACTAAAGTGAAAGCTAGAATTTTGCTGACAACTTTTGCCGTCATTTTATCAGCCATGGCTTTACCAATTTGATTTGTGTTTCTCTTTTCCATTTAAGTCCCAAAGGAGTTATTTTTCCATTTTAGGAATGAAAACAAGACCTTGGAAATTTGTAGAGTTGACCTGCAACGTGCCATGATTACTGCACTTTTCGAGCGCACAATTTTAAGATGAAAAACCGTCTTTCTAGGACCCCTAAAGTCCTCTAAAAATATGCTCAGTAAGGCGATTTTGATTGGTTTATTTGTCCTTAACAACAATAGGAGAACCTAAAGATCTTCAGGGAGGGTAGGAGAGGCAATTGTCCCCACGTGCTTTTTTCACGGCCGGTTACGGCCGGCACAGGCGTCAATGGGTTAACATACATTATCATACACACACACAAAAACATTAATATGGTATTTAAACATTTAATATAATTTTTGTTTGGAGAAATAATTGAATCTGAAAAACTAATCTCCCACCTCTCATGACCTCCTGAGCGGCTCCGTCGTCTTCTATTTCTGAAACAAGTTTAAAAGGTGTATTTTAGATTAACTTAATACAACTTTTTTTCTGTTTTTTCCTTTTTCCTTCAAAGGAGCACACAGTCAGTACCTACCTTTCACGGCTATTGCTACGGCTACGACTACGACGTCGACGACTCCTGCAAAAAATAATCCAGAACCAGTGTTGGTTTTTATGATGAAAACAGCTTTTATGCCACACATACATTCACTTCACCAGAGAGAAATTAAGTCATGTTCTGCCACCAAATGCCCTTAGCCTAAAAGGACATTTGAACACTGAAAAACCTGCAGATGATCAGCTTTAGATTAATTCAAAATAATAGAGCATATGCAAGTTTCTTACCTGTCTGGGCTTCTACTGCGACTGCGATTTCGTTGACTTCTGTCGAAAAAAAGACCAACAGAACTGTCAGAGATAAAGTTTTCTGATTAATATTACATTTAACACCCACAGCCTTTTAAGGCCATCCATGAACCAGACCCTTTAGTGGATATTTTAATAAAAGTACTTTGAGAGGTTTTAGTGATCTTTGGCAACTTGGTTGTGGTTATGTAGGGCATTGAAGATGCTTAGTAACACTCTCTCCAGTTCTGGCAGCCATGATTCCGCAGTGTAAACACTGACGTTGTAGAGAAATACAATACCTTCATTTGCCTTAGTGGATCATGTTCAGATGCAAATAACTGTTCAAAATGAGAAAACACATGTTATGGCACATCTGTAGCTAGAAAGCAAGTTTTACCTAGGTAGAAATTAATAAGAAGCAGAAAACATGGCACACTGAAGCCAAGTGATGAACAGCTCTACACTTTTGTGAAGTGTATAGAGCATAATTTTATACAGTTGAACACTGCCCAAAGGAGACGATCAAGAGTGTGGTTATTGTAATTCAATGAAAGAAATAAGTAGTGCAAGTCAAACTACAGTGCACAACAACCTGTTGAGGACTTCCTACATGTCTATTTACTGGCTGTACCCTTTTATGATGCAGGATTATTTTCATAATAAAGAGCAATGACACCATTCAGCTTGGTAAGACTGAACATGTATTGTACTAATATAGAGAAAATGTCCCAGCAAGGAGCATCAGATGATGAATGTTTTTAAAACCATTCCCTTCAAAGGCAATAAATACATTTGCCTAATTACAACTTCATGCTGAAACTGGAATAAGTAAACCCAGTCCCTCCCCTAGTCAGTGCCTTTACTTCAACCTGTTAACATCAAAAACCAGACATCTTGCAGTCCAGTGATCATCCGCTGTTATAATGCCTTGGAAAACCTAAAATTTCTACCTAGGGCGAAAACAGAAATATTCGCTCAGATTTCACATGGGTTGTCAGGAGGTACACTGTAAAAGTGAAGATGTTTTTCTTTTTTGCTTTTACTTTTACGCTGCCTAGCTCATCCCCACTGAGGCCAATTGTGCATTGGATTTTCCTTCATTTTGTAATCTTAGTTTTAAAAGAGTTTCCCGTCACTTGAGTTGGGATTAAACTGGCCAAAGACAAAGCCACATTGAATTGATATTGATTTTGTCTAAACAACATTTTAGTTATTTATCTGTTTTGCCAAGAGGAAATAATGCCAAAGTTTCAGTTACCTAGACAAAGACACACCCTTTACAGGTAAAACCTACACAATGCATGTTTTCACCATCTTACCGTTTTCTCCTTTCTTCCCCATCACTGCTTTGCCTTTTTGATTCACTCTTACTACCATTTGCTTGGGCAGGTGGAGTCTGTAACAAAGTAAACAGTTTAATTAACCAACTGTAAAACTACAGCCTTTGGGTCAGCCCAGCCTTGCACCCGATACCAACCATCAAGAGCAAACTTCTTTCCATCCTTTGCCTACCCATTGAGCGAAAGAGAATCAGTTTACACAGGAGTCAATCTTCAGAAATTTTTGTTTTCCTAATCTATTAAAATTTGTAAAAAATGCATGGGAATCTGGAAAATCTTGAAAAGATGAGTGTAAAACAAGCATGTTGCACTCATTTCATGACATTTGAAATGTAAGCTTTTACAGTCCTACTTTTGATGGCACTTTTGTACAACTATGGTATTTGGAAACAAAAATTCCTGGTTATCCCCTCTTTCAAATTTGTAAATAAGTTAAATCGTAAAAATTGGCCAATGTTGGGGTCTACTGGTACCTGAAGTATTTAATTTTACATTTAGTGGGGTGCTGAAGTCAAAATAGGGACAGCATAATATTATTTACTCAACATGTCTTTAAATTCACTTTTAGATACTTGTACCACCAAAAGTGAATCAATAATGGCATGGCCGCAGTGACTGATAATGCTGGACAAAACTGAGCACCATCATACCCACCTCTACAGGTCATCGCAAAAGCTAGAGAAGGCACTCAGTCTAATTAGAGAAATGCACAGAAGTATAATTTGATTTTGAAACAACTTTGCGCTGAAGAAGCAAAAGTATCTTGATGATGGTCTGACAGTCTGTAGCAAGTTACATAGCAAAGTTTTGATTGAAAAATATTTCTTCAGAATTTTGCATGTGTGAAGTTTGGAAAGCGAGTTGATTCTCAAAGTGAAATAACTCAGGTTGAGAAAAATCATCAACACATCGCACATCATCAGAATAACAGAACTACCATGAACAAAAATTTCAAAAACAATAATTATTAAAATAAATACTTTAAATAGGATCTTTGTTTTTCCCCCCATAAGAAGTTAAATTCAGTATTATCGGATCATAAAAAATAAAGGTCATTTCTGTCGAGGTGGTTGACTACCTCAATAAGGCTGGTTGTGCTGTAATTTCAAGTCTACAAAACAGAAAATAAGATACTGGGGTCAGATACCTGGATAAGAAGAAAAGACACTTAAAGATATATTGACCACTCCAATCAAGGACCAGAGAGGATTTTAGCAATCAAGAAGTGACATCCTCACTTGAACTATGATAAAATCCTTTCCTGAAGGTTTCTCACCCAAAGACTCTCATTTGGGAGATAACATTACCGACTCCTTTTCGAGTGGTTAAAATCTTTCAGCTACCTCAAAATGTCATCACCGTGTTCTTTAAAATCAAAGCCCAGTTTTTACTTATAAACTTTTACCATTTGTTGTTAAGTGAAAATTAGATGTAAAAGGTTGTGAACAAAGCTAACATAGCCCATCAGACACAGTATGTAACAGTACTCGTGTTCCACTCTTCATAAACACAATTGTAGTTATTCTTCAACTCACCTCCTTTCTATATGGAGCTTCCAGCATTGCTTCCACGTCAAAGTCATCTGCCATGGTAAGTGCCTCTAAAAAAAAAAAGCTCCTGTTAGAAAAATGCAATTACCTTAAGATAACAATGCATCTTAAATGAACAATGCCTTCTCGAGGTGTGTCCTCATGCACCAGTACAAGTGGTTCTTGTGTAATGGTGCACAAGGACAGAACCCACTGTTGGCTCTATGCTCCCAATCATACCAAGACAGTAACATTTCCTATTTTAAAAGACCTAGCTTCAGTTGTTCAAAGAATGGATAACGCTTTCCACCAGATAACACACCATCTGGTAGATAGTGAAGTTTGTTGTCAGCACTTCTCCATTGGATAGAGATTTGTCTAGTGGATATGGATAGCATTATCTACCCTTTGAATAACTGGGCCCTGTTAGGTGAGAAAAACACTTTTTTCCCTATAGTACATAGAGTTTCCATTACCTGTTATCTAGTGTTTCCAGGTTATTTATCAAGCTGACTCGATTAATAGGTAAGGCAGCTTTACTTTAAACTGCATCGACGCTTTGTATATGTAATAGGACTAAATGCTGTCCAATTTGGAAATAATTGGATGAAAAAAATTCCAAGGACAGCCAAAATTGGATGAGGCTGCAGAGGAATTTTTTTAATCCAATTATTTCCAAATTGGACAAGCATGTAGTCCTGTTACTTATTAATTATATAGCTCGTGAGGTAATATAGCTTTGCAAGGAAAACTACAGTAACTATCTCTGAAGAAAAACAGCCTGGGCCCTCGATCTTCCGAAACTTGGGAAAGCTTCAAAAACAACCGGTGATCTTCGGAGATCGCCGGAGATTGTCACAAGTCTTTGGAAATCCTGCAAAGTGTTTGGGTGATCTTCAGAAATCTTCAGCTGATCTTCGGAAATCTTCGGAACTGTTCGGGCAATCTTTGGAAGTACTCAAGTGATCTTTGGAAATCTTTGGAGATGTTTGGATGATATTTGGAAATCTTCGGAAGTGTTTGGGTGATGTTTGGAAGTCTTTGGAATCATTCGGGTGATCTTCGGAAATCTTCTGAAGTGTTTGGGGGATCTTTAGAAATCTTCGGGAGTATTTGGGTGATCTTCAGAAATCTTTGGAAGGTTTCGTGTGGCCTTGGATAATCTTCAGAAGGTTAAGAGCTTAATTTCATTGGCTGAGACAAACTGTCCTATTTTTTCCCAAATTGGACAGTTTTCAGAAACTAAAGGATAATAGCTGTGCTGACAATACTGGATTAACTGACTGCTGTATAATTGACCTTCTAATTTGGGTCCAGGGACCAGTTGCTCAAAGAGTGGATGACAATATCCACCAGGGGCTGGTTGTTCAAAGAGCAGATACATGTAGCTCTATCTCATGGATAAATGGCTCTCTGGTGGATAAGCATTCACAAAAAAACTATGCCATTCATTGGATGGTGATATATCCCATGGATAGGGGCTTGTTGTTTGAAGGGTGATAAGAATTGGCAAAACAAACCATGCTATCCATTAGATATACTAGTTACATAAAGCTTTCAAGTGGTATACCATGGAATACACCACTAGTCACTTGCATTTTCTCAGCATACACACCAGCCTTTAGGCGTGTATATATGAAAAAATACAGGTGACAAGTGAGATAGTCCATGGTCTACCATTAGAGAGCATGACATGACCATGTTATACCATGCCATAGAAAGTAGTGGCCAACATAATCAATGGGACATGTGTGGTGCACGATGGGAAGGTTGGATGTAATACCGTTGAATATACAACAGCTTTCCTGTATTCTGACTGACTCTATTTCCTATGGCATCAGGGCTCAAAAAATATTTGAATTCCACCTTGAATGTTCCCAACAAGTATAAGGGAAGCAGAGCGATAGAGGCAGTTACCACCACCAGATGTTTTTATGGCATCAAATTCAACTTTCCCTGGAATTTTCGAACGTGATAAAAATGTCATCAGGAATCAAATTTTGTCCCACGGCATCTTTTGCCAGTGCCTCCCAGTTGAAGAAACACAGTTTGTGAAGTTGTTGTTGTTTGTTCGTGTACTTACTTCCTAGTTCCTGTATTACACGCTGGGTATCTTTGTTATTATACAGCCTTGAATCAATTTGTTCAATTCGTCGAAGATCGTGTTCAACTCTTTGGATGTTCACCTGCATCTTGTCTAGCTCCAAGAAATCATTGTGAAGAGAAGTGCAAGAAATTTATAACATGCAGAATCAACAACAAGTGGCCTTCCCACTTCAGTTTTGACACAGGCACAGTGTCGAATTTGAAATTTTTTTCATTTGGGTGAATGCAAAATAGTTTCAGTTGAGGGAAAACATCTTCGTTTGAAAGAAGCATTATTTTAAGTCATCTTCCAGGAACTCTGAAAGTATTTTGATGACTTACTTATCCATTTCTTTTTAATAATATTTCATTTCGCTTGGCAGCACCCAAGTATGTTATCACTAGCAAACTTGCATGTTTCGCCAAAAACAGAGATCTGGATTTTAGTACCAAAAATGCTGACTTTGTTTTCGCGGTAGAAATATGCCGCTTCTTTTCGCATACAATTTCTACAGCTTTAATATATTGTTGCTGAGTTAAGTTTTGTACAGAGAACCTGGAAAATGCTCGCAGAAAATTGCATTTTTGTGCCCAGCACAGCTATTTTTAATCCCGGAAAGAAATTTGATCAGGGCAGATTTTGATCACGTGCTAGGCCACCACTTCTGAGCCGTGAGCGCGCATCACACAATCAACAAAACAACGCTATAAATTGTAATTTTCATCAAGCTTCATCTTAACACTTAATTACCCTTGAGCCTAAAATTTACCTTCTCGTCTCAAAATCATTATCAAAAATTTAGTTGGTGAACAGCTTGCCTGGGTCCTTGCCCATGGGGCAAGTAAGGAGAGAAAGTTTCTTGCCCGAAGGGAAAATCTACTTGTCCCGGATCACTGGATGGGTTTTTTTTTTTGTTTTTGAACCCTGGGCATGGTTAGGTATAAAGTGATATATCCTGTGGATAGTGTCAACCATCCTTTGAACAACCAGGGCCTCGTAAATTGCTATCCAGAGTATAACTGTTGACAAAACAAACTGCACTATCTACTGGACAGTGATTTATCTGGTGGATGCTGCTATCAATCCTTAAAAACAGACAGGGCCAGCTGTTCAAAGAACTACCCTTCTTAGCAAAATACCAAAACCTTGATGCTGATTTTGCCTTTCTTTTGAAACTCACCTTTTGACTGAGGCTAACCTCATAATGTCGCTTTGAGTGGACACTGTCAAAGTCATTTTCAAAATTTACAGATATAAGACATTGGTCAACCATAAATTCAGATTGGCACTGATTGCCTTTTGACACAATTCTCGCAGTTCTTACTGGCGCAAGCATTACGACTTTCCCTGAAAAAGGTTACCAAAGGTGGAACTGAAAAATTCAACGTAAGTTTCTAAGATATCGCGTTTTAAATCTGTTACACCAGTCTGCAACGCGAGAAATCAAACTTGAAAAGTCAACTTTAATACATTCACATGTGCGGAGTGTTACGAAAAAGATTGCACAGGCGCCAGCTTCATAATTCACCTTGCGTTCTGTTCAACAAAAAAGAACCTGTTATAACGCACTCTAAAACTAAACGCAGAATTATTAACGAATGTGAATCTGTCGCAAGATAAGAGAATGAAATTGGGAAATTCCATTCGTTTTAAATGAATCTATCGCTTTCAAAAGCAGCCATCATTTTAGCTTAGCTTGTATGATCTAGCTAATTTAATCTTACATAACCTTTAGAGTATTTCCTTGCGCCGCCTTATACGAGCCACACTAATATTAAAGGTGCTACAGGATAGTTTCGTATTATAATTTCAGAATGACTCACCAAGTTTACGCGTTGAATGATGAAAAATACAGCAAAAATTTTCTCAAGTTCAGTCTTCAGCCTCTCTTCTTCCAAGATGGCGAGAACACGAGACACGAGCACGTTTGTGGGGGGACCCAACGAGAAAATCACGGCGTTTTAGTCCTTATTTAGAAAGCATTGCCTTTTTAGGTGGTGATTTTAATGACGTCATCATTAATGACGAGAGACTGGAAACTAGTTTTATTTTTGGCGCTTCAGTAATGGTGGACAGAAACACTGCTTAGCCAACTTGCAAACGTAACGTTTATCAGGAGAAAAGCTTCAATAAACTTTTAAGATGCCGTCAATAGAAGGTACGAAATTAATGCCTGTCTTTTGTCATTTGTGTCGATCTATTTCACACTGATTTGACTCTCTTTGATCGTTTTGCAGATACTTTATTTCAGTTGAAGGTAAGCTATCATGTTGTGCCAGTGGTTGTGCTTGATAATGAATGTTTATGAAGGTGGACGAAGTTAATGTACCCAAGTTTGTAACTTTTATTGTCATCTGCTTTAAAGTTCACGGCCAAACAGTTGGAAAAGTCTTCCAAAAAGTGCGAGAAGGAAGAAAAGGCACAACAAGCAAAAGTGAAAAAGGTATATAAAAGTTTATAATAATTTTAGCACATACGAACTTATTAATGTTTTAAAGTTCTCTCTTTTTGATTGGTTCTTTCTTATGATCTATTAGAGGACAGACTCACAGATGACATCATTAACTTTCTTTTTTGTTTTTTGTTTTTTTTTTTTATTATATGAAACAAGTAGATTCCTTTTTGCTGTGCGTCTGTTCTGAATGAGTAATAGTCACACAGAAGATGCCAAAATGTGGTAAGAACATCAGTGACAATCCGCCATTGCCTCATGTGCCACTTTTTTGTTGTTACCACGTTTTGACATCATCTCTGATCTATTACTGAAGACACGTACAGCAACATGGAATCTATTTGTTAATTTGTGCTGGTTTATTGACTCTGTCTACTTAACCTCCTAATCTATTATGTTTGACAGAGTACTGTGTTGAAGTGGCATAGTTTATCACTTACACTGTATGAGCAGTTTGTTTAAGTCTGACCAACTGGATATAATGGTCCTGTACCAATATGCCTTTTAAAAGTCTTCCTTTTCATGATCATTTCAGCTAGTGTAAACCCACTTCTATTTTTACATTGTGCAAAAGCAGTGGTGTACTACAAAGAAAGCAAAAGGAATAATATTTTTCGAGATGATTGATAATTGGCAATGGGCGATTCTCTCTATGAGACATGTTTGCAAGGAATCATGGCAGGAAGGGAATGTCTGGTAGAAAGTTAAGTGTAAAAAGAGATTGAATCAATGTTACCATTCGGTTTTTAATTTTGAAGGCTTTACAACAGAAGAACATTGAAGGAGCAAAGATTTATGCAGAAAATGCAATCAGGAAGAAGAATGAAGGATTGAACTATCTGAGGCTTGCATCTCGGGTGGATGCTGTCTCATCAAAAGTTCAAACTGCCATGATGATGAAACAGGTACTGTTTACTATTCAAAAGTTACTTCAAACCCTGTGTTCAGTTCGCGTGTGCATGTATGTGTAACTGCATTGTAACTGCATGCGAAACATCTTGGGGGGAAAAGGCCGACAAGGCAGTTTTTCCAGTAACAAACAATATTCAATACTTATGATGCTTTATTCTGAAGTGAAACTAACAAGAATGTCGATTTTGGAATCTCAATTTGCTTAAGAGACCTTTGTTTACACCTTTCATTTCTGGTTGAAGCTGGAAGGATGTAAACTATGGCCTATCAGTTTGTACATGGATGACCAGTCCATAGAAGCACATTTGCAGTAGAGAAACATCTTGTAGTGATTTCAAGTGAAGTTAAGTCTGCACTATGCCTCAGTATCCTACACATTCCAAACTTACCTTGGCTTCCAACCAAGAATATATTGATGAGTGTTATTCAGATCAAGCAGATATAGTACTTTCTAAAGTCTTAAGAAAACTTTAACTAATTTAATTGATAAATCCTGAATGTGTGAATTTAATGTTTTCTTCAGGTTACAAAGAACATGGATGGTGTTGTGAAAGGTCTGGATAAAGCTATGCAGTCAATGGATCTTGAAAAGGTAAACTATTCTTTAAAACAAACTGGACCATGGCTAGTTCTACAGCAGTTTCCTATGCAGACACTCTTTCAGTTTGGCCTCTTTGGTAATCTTCCTCCCTTAAGGTTGTGTGACAAACCCAAAGGGCATCTGCATACAGACAGCAGATCTAGGGAAGGAGCCAGGGGGAAGGAAGAAAAGCTGGCAGGCAAGTAAAAGAAACCAGTCCNACTGCAACCAGTGGCGGATCTAGGGGAGGGGCCCGGAGGGGCCGGTCCCCCCTTACTTTGGGTAAGAAAAGAAGAAACCACAGAAGGAAGAAAAGCCGGCAGGGCAAGCAAAACAAAACCCCCCCCCCCCCCCCCCCCCCCTTAGCTCAAGGTCTGGATCCACCACTGGCATAGGAGGCTAGTTCTAAATGAAACAACTAGCTAATTTCGAAAAGTACTTATCTGAAATTCAGTTATGATGATTGCTTCAACAGATTTCAGCCACCATGCAAAAATTTGAAGGCATGTTTGAAGATCTGGATGTCAACACTCAGGTAATGTCAAGGAGTACTATCTTTTACACTTTTTAATCAATTGGACTTGGAGACCTAGGGTGCTTACCATTTGTCACCTGTTGGCTCATGTTGCCACAGCATTTCTCATTCTCCCAAACTTCCATTCATGTTTCTATAACTTGATAGAAACATGGAACTTGTTTTCTATTTCTTAAAAGTGAAATATTAACGTCAATATAAAAGTGTTGAAATGACATCTACTTAACTGTAGCTCAACTTACAGTGGTTAGAGCGTCTGGCTAGATTATGGGTTGTGGGTTCAAATCCCATAAGGAACTCAGATTTTTTTCTGAGATGATGTCATTTCTACATTTAAGGACGGTGCCTACTAATTGCAAAGGTTTTTGCGCCAGGCTAAGACCACGCGGAAAAAGTAGATCTTTGCAAGGGCTATTGGAATCCACAAAGAAAAATGGGAGTAGCCACACATTNGCTATTCTGTTGTTCCTGGTTTAAGTACAGGTTCATTAAACTTGATTTGGTCACAGCAGGAAAATTTTGCTTTCATTTTAGTCGTGTACGTGATAGCATAGTTGATTGCGTCAATGTCAGCCCCAGCGCACTTGTGGAGCTAAACCATGGCTTGCGTGATGCGCAGAACGTGTGCGCACTAACAAAAGTAGGCACCGTCCTTAAATGAGATTATCAATAGTCAGAGTTAACTGGGAGATCTGCTGTTGGCCAGCGGATGATCGCTGCAGGCATGCGTAGTTGTGCCATTGCTGTGCAGTTTCACCCTTGTAGTTTTACTTTGCCTTGCTTTGTCGCTTTGCCTTTGGTTTGTCCCATCCCACCTGCCTCATGGTTCATGGTGGGCCCTTGTGTCTAGGTAAGTTTACTTATTCTCCACTGAGAATTCAGTGTGACAGGTGCCAGGGGGAGGTGACCTATGGGAGGTTGCCATAGATACCCCATTTATTTGCATTTTGCCCACACTTGCTCACTGCCTGCTTTGCTGTCAATTGGCACCTACCCTCTATTTTGAATATTGCTTATCGACAAGTTAATATTTCGTATAATTTAAAAGTAGTGATTTTTAATACAAAACCACTATATGTGGAACACAAGCTCTGTTCTGTGTGGGTAGCCCTATAGAGAGCTTCAGTATTAAGAAATAGCATGTACCATGTTTCTATAACTCAACAATAATATTAGAGAAATGTTGTGGGAACATGAGCCAACAGGCAAGTGTTTCCACAGCTTTTTCTCCCAAACTTCCACGAGTGTTTCTATAACTTGATAGAAACATGGAGAACATGGTTTCTATTTCTTTTAGAAAATTCTGTGACAAAAAAGAAAACGTGTTTACTACATGATTATAAAAATGGAAATTCTCTTTGCTCATGCCATCATTACGTTAACAGTGCATGCTACATGTAGTTCTGCGCTCCTATCGAGTTATAGAAATACGATTTTAAACCAATCAATATATGTATTTTCTTTGGGCTATTTTCTTATAATTTTCAATTATTAAATGCTTTTTTCCTCACAGAGTATAGCATCATGAAGTTAAAAAAATAATATAATTATTTCTTTATGTTTCAGGTGCTGGAAAGTGCTATGGGAGAAGCCACAACATTGTCCACTCCTCAAGACCAGGTAGGATTTGATTATTATATTTATTATTTATACCAGGTAATGACAGCTACATGTCTACATTTTCATGTGGTTAACAGAGCATTTTAGTCAATAATATTACTACCGACAGTGTGTTACTTTATGCCTGTTATTGTAATACACAGACAATGTTATAGAGTTGAAGCTCTAGAACAGTGGCACACTGGGGCAGAACTAACTGGCCATTGATGGCAGATGAGCTTTGTAGGGAGTTTTCAGTCTCCAAAGGTAGAACATATGGGTCTATAGACAATATGTAGATGTATAGTTGGAAGGAAAAAAATTCCTTTTGGAGAGGTGGCCAACATAAATGCCGCGAGGTGACCATTACTATGGAAGTTTGACTGTAGCTACATGTACATCATCTAAGTAGTTTAGCAGGTTTTCTTGAGCCTTTCATTTGCTAAAGTACAAATACTTGTATTTGCTGTGAATAGAAGTTTATTTCTATTGTTGCGTTGCATTTTCTTGAGGATTGCAGGAAAAGAAAAGAAATCAGAGGCAGAGTTTTGGTTTTTCCTGTAAATTTCATTCTTAATCTCTTTCAGTAGCAATAACTCTTTTGATTCCACCGTTGTTGATTAGGTTGAGGCATTGATTCAGCAAGTTGCAGAAGAAAATGGCCTAGAAATTATGAGTCAGCTGGAAGCTGTACAACCTGGTACGTCCTCCCTCAAAAATCAAGAAGCACAACGATCTCAAGGAGAGGAAGACCAACTTAGCAAAAGGTGAGAAATGACAATGTTTCATAGAAGATCTCAGAAATTATTTTATTACTGTAGGCTATAACTAAGGCAGTTGGAGGCACAGTGGCCTCATCATTAGTGTGCTTGCCTCCAGTTCGAGTGGTCTGGGTTCGAGCCCTGGCTGGGGACATTGTGTTGTGTTCTTGGGCAAGACACTTTACTCTTACAGTGCCTCTTTCCACCTAGGTGTATAAATGGATACTGGCAAATTTAATGCCGGGGGGTAACCTTGCAAGGGAGTTCTCATCCCATCCAAGGGGTAGCAGAAATACTCCTAGTTGCGTCATGCTACAGAAACGGGGGATTAGCGCCAGCCTGATGGGCCACTTGGCTTGGATGCAGACTTAAGGTATAGCTAAGGCAGAGTTTCTGTAGCGTGACTAGGAATATTTCTTCTCCTCCCTGGTTGGGATCCTATTCCATTGCAGAGTTACCCCTGGTATTTACCAATTGGTACCTGGGTGGAGACAGGTACTTTGAGAGTAAAGTGCCTTACCCAAGAACACATCACAATGTCCATGGCTAGGACTCAGACCCAGACAATTTGATCTGTGGTCACCATGCCTCTAAATGGGTCAAGTGCAACCGTAGATATGTATAATTGTGTGTTTTCTTAACAGATTAGCTTTTCTTAAGCTACTATAACAATTTTTTTTTTTATCTTTTTTATATCACAGACTTGCTTCTTTAAGAAGTTGATTGACGTCTAAGGGAAAGACACAATTCTCCAAATTTAAAAACCACAGACAGGGTCTACACCTTTCTTCAATGCTTCACAGGATCAAGGAACAGTAAATGATGTTTTTTAGCAATAAGTGATAGAGCGGTTTTCAGTTCAGTGTAATCACTCAAAGTTATCGCTATAGCCAATCACAAAAGACACAGACACAACAGTGAACCAATCAAAACTAGAAGTAACGTAGCTGTCGCAAAGCACAGGAAAACGTTTGGAGTGAGTCATGATTGGCTTTGGTTTTTACTTCTGATTGGATGAAAAAGTGGGGCGAGTTTTTTAAGCCAATTGTATAGCATGGTAAGTGCAAAACCAATTACTTTTCGACACTCTAATGAAAACCACTGTATGTCCATTGTAATAAATCCATAGTTTTCTAAGCTAATTGTGTCACAGAACATCTGTTTAAGAAATTAGAGCAGTTTTTCAATTAGCTGTTGGAATGTAATTGTGCCTTTACTCTCGCTTTTCATTGTCTAACTTGAGCAGTTAATGTAGAAGCTCTGTTAAGTCCCTGAGTGAGATATTTTCGTCACGACTTTTTGAGGTTCGAGGTCGGTAAGTAGAGAGTGGATCATTGGCTTACATCTTGTTATACATGTAAATCAGCTATGGTTAATAGAAAAGAAAGGAAGTGAACGAAGCAGACATTACATATTATAAGTGTTGTTTTATTGCACATTTCCACAAGACTTAAAACGTGTTTTATTAAACTAACTTAAAACGCGTAAAATTACCTCAAGATAATTGTTCTTGATTATAAATTGTGGCAGATTACCATTTAGATAGCTAGAGGGGAGGGCCTCTAAGCAAGTGGGGGGGAGTATTATAGCAAAAACAGAAAATTATTTACATTTGCGTTAGACAATTTGTGGTAGTTTCTTTAAGAGAAAGATACCATGCAACTTGCTCTAACGAAGCCAAACAAACATGGTGTTTTTGTGTCATCCGCGAATGGTTGTAGCAAAACGAAAACATCAATGGTTACCAGGCCTAATTTTTCTTTGCATTGTGATTGGTTCGTTTTGCGCTGCTCTCACCGGTCGCCATGGAAACGAGCGGTAAATGACTTCTGTTGAAGGGTCGGTTTGTTCACTGCGTTATTTGCGTTTCCTGTGATTGGCCAGTGTGATTACTTTAGTTGAAAGTCTTACTACAATCGATAGAAAACCGCTGTTACATATAAGGGACGGACCATTATTTTTTGAGGAGGAGGAATTGGGCAATTTCTGAAAAATAATTCCTACACAGCAAAAACTGCTGAAAAAAAAAATCGTTCAAGGAGAGCCATGGGCAAAAAATCAAGCAAGCGCTTTCCACTTTTGATGTTAAAAAAATTCTGGCACAAGCTATTGCCCAACCAAAAAAAAAAAACCATGCACAACCTAAAGGGAAGAAAAAATTTCATGCCCCAGAAAATTGCCCAACCCCGTCTCCCTCCCCTCCCTCCCCTCCCTCCCTCCAAAAAATAATAGTCCGTCCCTTTGTTTGAAGTTTTACGGCAGTTGATAAAAAACCGCTGTATCATGTAACAAAATACTTGGTTTTGGAGTCGCATAACGATGCGTGTAAAATATGATTTTGTATAACATTGTATTCATTTGAATGATGGTTTCCGATACTTTTATTTGGCGCGATGTCGGATGTTAATAATTATACAAAAACCTCGTGCCTGACACTATTGACTCTGTAAATATATGCATCCTGGCGAAGCCATCAGTGTTATGTCGGGCCAGTATTTTTCCAAGCATGTTGGACCGGGTAAAGTTTTTATGCTCTGCTTTAATTATAGATCGTGTAATAAATCTCTCATCTGCCAAGCTTTCTCAAAACCGATCTGGAAGAATATCGACTTTCGGTCTTTTTTTGTAGAGAGTTCAGTCGTTGCTCTTTTTTCCAGTACGGCCGTTGCGTTCAGTTAATGAGATCTGACGCACCTTAGCGGTGCTTAGCTAATTTGGACCTTCTCTTTTCTTTTGGTGGATTACTTGCCGTTCCTAATAAAATAAAGAAACCAAAAAAATAAATTTGCTGACTCACTCTTTGTTATGATTCAGCTTGTTACAGTCGAATTGGCCCAACAATGGGGTGTATTTTGGGAGGTTATTTGCAGTTAATGGTACTGTTGCAAACGCGTTTCCGTTAGTCTACGACACTTAATCAGGAAGGAAATGACGATACCAAACACCCTTCGATTCTTCATGTCGACTGATAAACGTACTCAGTGACACGAAGTCTTGTTTAACTCACCCATGAATTAGAACTTAAAGGAGCTCAGTCGCAGAATTTTGAACTATTTTGGACACGTTTGAATTTACCTTCTAGATTAATAGTAGATTATTAAGGTAGAAAAACACCAAAGAGATAACAATAAACCGTAAAGGAACAAGGATGGTCAAGGATGGAGAAGATTAACACGGATTACAAACAAACTTGAAAAATTTAGGCTTAACTTTTCAAGATGCGCAAACCATGTCGTAGCTCCTTCAAGGAGACAAACCAGAATTCGCTGAGTGATTAAAAAAAAAGGCATCAACAAACTTGGGCTTTTCGTAAGTGAATAATTAGCGGAAAAATGGCCAATAAAACTTCAATAAAACTGTTATCGGGTCGAAATTGTTTTTTCAAACTGCCAACGACATTATCAAAGATCAATGGAGTAGTGGCCTGCTAACAAGTATCAGGGATTTGCGGTGAACCGAGAAAAATTACTACTAATTTGTGATATCATTTTAAAATATAAACCCGACCAATTTAAAGAAAGCTGGAATTCGATTTATCGACTACACTTTCTGTTCCTGATTGAAGCTCGTTTTCTCTTCAACTATCATCTGTTTTTGAACTCTCGTTTTGCGAATTTGTTACAAGATTTTTGCTCACATTTGTGGTATTTAAGATTGCTGACTAATTGTATAGCTGGGTCATATACCAACAATGCGACCGATTTCCGGAACTCGGCTGAAACATTTTTAGTACTAAACGATATCTATTCTGAAATAATTACTCCGAAATTAGAATTCCCTCCTGGGCACTGAAACCCTCGGGCAGTTTTAAATTAGCGGTTTGCTCCGAATGGCGCCCTGGTGAGGTAGCTCACAGGTAGCTTCAAATGACGGGTTCCCAGGACAATTTAGAAGGTTTGAAGTGATCTTCTGGAGAGGTTCTTAATAGGAGAGATCAGGATGTTCTTTTTAATAAAACAATTTTACCTGAAGTACATATCGTGTCTA